CTTGCCAGTGACTTTCGATCCCTTCCCACCATATTTTTTATCTCTGGATGATATTTTTAACTGAATATAACACGTTTGGTTGCACATATCTTTGTAGCGCTGTTTAGTTCAGCGTCAGCGTGTAGTTCAGCGTCCAGCGTCAATCGAAGCGACACAATTACGTACGGCGTATTGATACTGTTAGTGTGTCTGATGTTGTTTTAATCAAGGAGGTGTGCTTTTCAGTATTTGCAACGTAAAAAGTCTTCTGAATGGAGACCCCTATATCCAGTAATAGTTTCTACAGAGAAATCTTGCCCACCATTTGAAAACAACAACTGGACAAGTCAAGTCAACATTAGTTGAGTATCAAGAAAAATCGCAGTGTACTCCGAGGTGAAAAAATGTGATATTCTAAGATAAAAGAAATCACACTTTAAAAACTTTACTACGCTGTAATAAAACTCGTTATTCTGAAGTAAGGAATACACAAGGAAAACTTCTATGCATTATACTGTCAAAATATTTTTCAAGTTAAGAATCACACACTCAGTACAGTATAGTACAGCAGAACCTCGATTTAACAAACCTCTACATAACGAAGTCCTCGGTTTAACGAACGATACTCTTCAGTTCTACTTAAGTTACAATAAAATGTATGGTACAGAACCTCCATATAGCGAACCTCGATATAACGAAATCCTCGTTACAACGAACACAATCCAGAAGCCCAAACGTATAATATACCCCGATGAAACGAACAAAGGTCAACACGTGACAAAAGACGAATGCGTAATAGATCAACGAGAATCAAAATCCTTCAATTCTGTAAAAATAAAAAAACAACTTCACAGTTAACAGCTCATTCTAAATGCCGACTCTGATACTATCGATACATCTACAGATCCCCTTTATCCTCCCTGTCTTTCTCCGTTTGCCAGTGACTTCCACTGAGCTTTGTCCTCCGTGCTTTAAAATCAAGCTATTACTATGTATAAACCTAAACAGTGTACTGTAGCTTCATATAGACATAAAAGCACAAATGTCATTTACAGCAATGGTTCCGATCACAAAATGCTGGGTAGTGCGGCGTCGCACCACATAAAAAGAAAAAAACACACAAAACAACAACTATTAACCATCCCTCGATATAACGAACATTTTGGTTGTTTTTTCGCAAATTCGTTAAATCGAGGTTTTCGATATAACGAACCAATTTCCCCAGTCCCTTGGCATTTCATCACATCGAAGTTCCACTGTACTAAGCTGCAAAAACTTAGCAATCATTAAACGACTTTCTTTTCAGAAAAGTCTTGCAAAACATGGACGGGTATTACTATGCAATTAAGACCCGGTTTAAATTACATGAATTATAAACAATCGTGCTGTTCAGTCCAGTAAAGTTGGCACCACAGGAAACCCAAATATAGCTCAGTCTCAAGTGCAGAACACTTCAGAAGAGATGGTTGCCGCAGGAATCCCAGGTAAGACTCAGTCAGTAGCGCAGTAGGCTTCGGAACAGTTGGTCGCTATGCGATCCAGATGGTAAACATAAAAAGAACTGCAGTTTCTCACCATAATCGACTTTGTATATTTACAACATTCGTACCAACTCCTGAAGCAAACTTCCCGGTTGACTCTGCCGTCTTCAACAGTGGGATGAGCACCGTTCATCCAACCTGGTCTGGTAGCACCGCAGCTGCTGGGTCCTACACATGTGGTAGGCATCTTTGTTCCCGCTGCTCCTTCGAAACGATACCACATTGCGTCGAGGTCATAGTCACACAAGCACGGTTGTTGAGAGGCAACGTATGTTGCTTTTCTATCAGCGTTTTGCAATGTCACATAGTGGAGACATTCTAATAAAAAAAATATTTGCTTATTAAGAAAGATTTTATTCGTCTGACCACCTCTGGGACAAAGAAACAAGTTACCAGATTAGCAGCGCCAATCACCGGCGCGAAAAGCAAAAGATGTCTGAGACTTTTTCACCGCTCTCTAGGGTCCAGTCCCTTTTGCCCAAAATGAAGAGTGCGGGCTCATTTCCCGAACAGCGGTTGTTTATCGAGTTTAGATTCCATTCTTCCGTAGTTTTTATTTATCCACAGATGCGGTTCTTTTAAGTAAGCTCTTACCGGTACTATTACTTTTACTTGCCTTCGTGGGTGCAGTCGAAGCCTGGCTTGCACTTGCATCTAAACGACCCTGCGGTGTTTTCACAGATCGCGTCTCTGTGGCAGTTATGAAACCCTGCGGCGCATTCATCCATATCTAAGGTACAAGATTCACACGTGGTAATACAGCACAGAATAACTCGGATAAATGAAAGTAAACTAAATCAGAACACTTTCTCTCGCGCTTTAATATGCTAACCTAGTTGAGTTTTACCTTCACAGTAGGTTCCCGTCCATCTCGATGAATTGCACACACACGTATAGTTCACTTTTCCGTTCAGGCATGTGGCATTGTTTTGACATCGATGTTTTATGCAGAAATCTTCTAATACTAGAAATACAATAAAAATAATGCGTCAATTAGTTTCCCTTCTGCTGTCCGCCAAGTTTAGCTTTTAATAGTTTTATAGTTAATTTAACAAAACAATCACGCCAAAAATATAGAATTGATGAGTGAATCAAGCCTTTGCAAACAATCAAGATTTTTAAAAGATCATGTACTGGTTATCATTACTTCTGCACTGATTTATTTGAAGAAAGGTTACGCAATCCTGCAAAATGTACATTCTCCCCGCACACTGAATTTGCCAGTCCCGCAATTGTTTCATTCTTCTCGTACCATTCACAATAAGAGTCATGGATTCTTACCACTTTTTGCCATGTGATATCTTTCGTTATCCTGCACAAAATCATCTGGGCTGGCTTCTTTGGTACTGTCAGTTAACTCACATATCTGTTGGAAAAAGAGCACGTTGTAGCTTCGGCATCTGGTGTCAGCGAGACAGGCTTGTCTGCAGTCAAGCGAACCTCGTCGAACTTTAATAGTCTTGTACGTGTGGCCTTTGAGCATCATTTGATAATCAGAGTAAATGTCGCCTTTACAATGCTGGCTTACAATTCTTTGCAACATCAAAGACCCCATAAACAGCATGTAGATGATAAGATTTTCTTGGCGATTCATTGGGTTTTTTTGTGAAGTTTACTCCATCAAGATAACTCCCCAAATGTCGGTATTATGTGATGCAACAAGCAGAATAAAACAGAAGAAACTTATCTTTAACTCCAGCTGGTCATTAAGCCAAATCAAGAATTTGATAAGGGTGTTAATTATTTGTAACGAGGTTTTCGTTTTTCATTCTAGACGAGATTATAAATTGGAAATTTGAACTTTTGGGAATTTGTTTGTATTGTCACCAAAATCTTGGCTGATAAGAACTTATTTCAATTGCACCTGTTTATTTTCTACCGAGCCACGTTATTCAGTTTAAAAGGAGACATGAATTTGCCTCAGTAGAATACGCTTTTTTTGTGATTGTTAATTACTGACTTCTGCGGTGCAGAGGCTACCAAAATGTTAAAAATGTTATGCCACTTGAAGAAGTAATTATTTAGTTTTCTCTTTATCGTTATAAACGCCAACAGTCTATAAACCATGCAGTTCTTATAATAATGATTAATTTTTTACAAATTTTTAAAAACCTATTTTTCTTTCGGTGTATATCTTAAAGATTAAAGGAAAGCATAATTGTAAAGCTTTTGATTTATTTCAATTAAGGTATTTACAAATCAAGTTCTTTTAATTATGGAATTCATTTCTTGTATGCAATTCATGCTGGACGAAGCCTATGTGCTGATAAACCTTCTGAATGCAGTGTCTATGAGTTTCGTTGATTTACCTTCACTCATTACTGCTATTCATTTTAAACCCTTTGACCCTAGCCGAAGAGTGACTAGCATCTAATTTCTCCTTACAATATCACCCTGAATCAAACATGAGGGTCACGGGAATAAAGGAAATGATCACCAACTAAAGAGATTCTTGATTGTTAAACAAATTCTCCTTGTCAGCACCATGGAAATGTATAGAGAACAGTATGGAGAATATGCATACTGATGATAGGATGTAAAGGGTTTAAGCAAACTTCCCTACAGCTTTATGAGTTACAATACAATTAAATATGATTTGTCTTGATTGACCATTGTTATTGACATTTGTTTGGTTTTTTCGTGGACTTTCTTTCCTGACATTGCAACTGAAATTCTGCTTCTGATGGATATTTTCGCTATTTTAATTTCGGACCATATGGCGATACTCTATTACCAAAAATGAAGTGATTTTTTGTTCACTTGTTATTCAACATGTGAGGTATATGCTAAGGAAATGATTCACTTCGGAAAAAAAATTGATAGATGTTTGCCTTCCTATATCGCGATACTATACATATATATATATATCATAGTTATATGGCAAGGTAATCCTGAGGTAAATTCCATCGTTCTGATCGGTTCCGTACTTGGGCTGTATTTCTTTTTAAAAAGAAAATTACGCTCATAATCGTGAGTGGCAGAAAACAACCAGTTCCTGCGGTCATTATTTGTCGCCTAAGGGGTAGGGCGGTGGATAATTTTTTTTGAGTGGAATGACATGGTTTTCAAGGGGGATGGGAGGGGGATGGGGGGGTGGTCATTCGTCGCCGACAGCTTCTAAAGGGGGGACTATTGGACATGGACTATTGGACATGGACTGTCTATTAACTGCCAATGAAGAGGATCATAAGTACATTACAGAGACTTAGGGGAGATCATGTAAATTTTATGATGACACAACCAAAAAAATCTTAATGACCGGTCTCTTACTCCCGATGACACAATTTTTACCCGAAATGAAGTCCACAAAATAAAAACTTTTTAATTTCTCGCCTTTGGTGGCACCGAGAAAATGAGTCGTGGCATCTTGTCTTGGAGGCGATTAATACTAAAAATAGGTCCCCTCTCCCTCCCTCCCCACCATCCGATAATGGTAAGCGTGCGTTCGTGGCACAGGTTACCCAAAATAGCTATTTGATTTTAATCGGAACCACAGTAACGTTCGGGATTTGACGTTCCTGGTGCTGTCCCGCGTATGAAGTAGACAAAGAAAGGACCACAGTTTCTAACTTTAACGACGTTGAATACTTCTTCACAATTATTAAACGAGCGGAAATAAACCCTCCTGTTCACCCTTCCATCTTCTTTGCTGGGATGACCACCTTTGAGCCAGCCGGGTCTCAGTCCACCGCACCTTTTGAAAGGCACACATGAAGTGGCCATTTTTGTACCTGCCTGCCCTTGGAAACGGTACCAGCCATTCAGGTCACCGTCGTCCAAATATGGCTGTTTTGATTTATAAGTTCTTTTCCTTTTACTACCAAAAATAACTGCGTAGTTTATACATTCTGAACAAGAAAAAAAAAACAGGCAAACAATTTGGAACAAGATAATCGAATATTTTAAAATTTGCATTTTCCACAATTTCTCCAGCGCAAGCGAAGATTTCTTAAACAAGCATCGCTGGACAAGAGCTCGAATGATGTATAAGAAAATTTCAATTGACCTGCATATGAAACTCGAGCAAAGAAATGATCCTCACAAATGGTCTGCAATTTTGACAATAGCTAAAAAGAATTCTAATAAAAAACAAGCTTCGACTAGATTCAAACCTAAGTAACCATCGAATCGAATGCCACCAACCGAGTTATGTTGGGAGGGAGACAAATTCATAACAATATATAAATAGTAATATACAGTGGAACCTCGCTTTCACGAACCTCTATATAACGAAGTCCTCGGAATAACGAACGATACTCTTTAGCCCTGCTAAAGTTGCAGTAAAATGTATTGGAAAGAACCTCGATATCACGCAGCCTCGATATAACGAATCAGTTTCCCAGGCACTTCGTTGAATCGAGGTTCCACTATATAAAGTTACACGAGCTTGTTGTGAGCTGTTGGTGAGAGATATTCGGCATTCTCTCGATACTACTCTTTCGCTAGCCCTTATGGTTATTCCTGGCAGCCAACACTCTGATTTCAATTTCATCGGTTTTGTAATTAAGCGTAGGCAGGACAGGAAAGAGTAAAAATAAACATATTTGTTGCTGTTGTTGTTGTTATTGTTGCAGCTATCGATACCCACCTCTAGGCTTGCAGGTCAGTCCATTGCCAATGTATTCTGACCTACAGGTGCACTTATAACCGCCTACAGTATTCTGGCAAGTGGCGTCTCTATGGCAATTGTGAGATCCGTCTGCGCACTCGTTGATTTCTTGAATAACAGAGATAAATTCCCAAATATTACTGCAACTCACATAGTAACAACTCTTATGATTACAGATAGAGATGATAGCCTCTTACAACAAAACAAAAATAAACCAAGAAGCAGAAAAGTCATTTTAAATCAGTGCTGCTAGACCTAGACAAGGTAAAGCGTGCACACGAGCCTAGAGGACCATTCAGCTGGAGCTCCTTGCGGTTGCTGCAGGAAGAGGCGACTAGAAGTATTGCTAATCTCAAAAAGTTATCCATAAGTATTTGGTTGGACTTCCATAACAACGTTAACTCTCCGGTACACATCTATACACCTGATGATGACTTTAATTTTACGGCTAACGATTAAAATTTTGTCCTCAATGTTTGACAGGAAAATTTTAACGATTAAGTTTATTTACGATTAACGGTACGATTAACACAATTACTACGATTAAAAGCATCCCACGAGCTGCCAATTTGGATAAATAAGATTCTTTTCCACTGAAGACTCTATGTCAAAGGAAAAAAATACATTTTCATTTTACAGATCTCATATTTACGAAGGTTCTCTCACCTTTGCAATTATTTTTCCCGTCTCCTTGAAATCCTGGTTTACAACTGCAGATGTAGGATCCTTCAGTATTTAGGCAAACGGCGTTAATATGGCAGACAGTGGGGTTGTCTACGCATTCGTCGACGTCTATTAAGACAATGAAGGGAAGAAAAAACAGTGGTGTATGTAATTGATAACAGTGTCAAGATTTAGCAATACGCCATCAGATTCTACCTTTTTCACAGTAGGTTCCACTCCATCCCGATGAATCACATGCACACGTGTAATTCACGTGACCTTCTATACAGGTTGCGTTGTTCTGACACAGATGTTTGAAGCATTGGTCTGCAACTTTTTCAAAAGATATAGCGCATGATAAGAATCCCACAGAGCTTCAGTCTTGTTTCTGTTAATGCATGTCGGGTATAAATAGGAAAATGAAGTTTTAAAGCGAAAAGCTGTAATTTGTTTCAACTCGATAAATGTACTGTTTCAAACGATATAGCTTTGATTTTGGCCTTCCTTAAAAAAAAAAAAAAAAAAAAAAAAAAAAAAAAACTTTTAATGACGAGTTACCGAGCGACTCAAATTGAAAGATAACAGCAACGACATAATACAAAAGGAAAAAGAATAGAAAAAGTAAAGGTATTTACAAAAGCTTCAGCAATTGAACTCGATATGGACGAAAAAACGGGAGAACTTGAAACATAACCGAAGTTGACCTTGCAAAAATTAAAACGTGAATAAGATATGTCAGCGATGAAATTTGTACAAAAAAATTCTAAAATAAGAAAATTGGGAGGAAAATATCACAAAGCAGGGCTCCTGCGCAAAGTGTTAATTACCGTAAGCGAAAACAACAGAGTATAATGTTGATGAAAAAAAATGTGAGCGAGAATCCAGTTGGTATAATTTCTTTCTCACCTTCTTTAACCATGTCACAGTAAGTTAAAAAAGAGTCTCCAGATCTGATTAAATCCAACCAATAATAACCACTGACCGCTTGTCCTCCCTCGCTCGCCTTGATTTCTTTGCATGATATAGCTGGCAGCTCACGAATGGATCCGAGAGGAGCTGGGGCAAATCGAGATAGACTGGTTAAATAAACGAGTTGTTTTCGATTTGTTTTCTTGCGGGTAATTTACAAATGAAAAGGTCTTTCGGTGTTGTTAAGGCAAGCTTCATGATCCTTTTTGGTCATCAGCCATCACGAGGTTTTGGTTCGAATCATAATCACTCGTGTCTCGGTTGGTGTTTTCCTTATATCGTTTGTTTTGCTTGCAAATTATTTGTCAAAATTAAATGTTGAATTTGACCTAAGCCTCGAGCAACTGTTCCGCTGGAAATTAGCAACGAGGGCCTTGGAAGCCAGATCGTCGTTCTCTATGCCCATGAGTTTTAACAGAAAACGCATCCTAGTTTTTCGGGCGCAACTCATCCGAGGTAACAATACGTCCTTCCTAATCTTCCCCAAGAGAACCGATACTTTTCAGTTTTTTGTCACAGCGACCGATTTTGTTGTCTGAAAACGGAGTTACCTGTGGGAGAGATTTATCGTCTCTTATTGTTTGACCAGGTAACCAGTTTTACCGAAAATTTTACATTTTTTTAAACTTTTTTACACGGCAAAGACCCTGAATAACCAAAAAGACACGATTCTTACTAACTACTTGTGACAACTGGAACAATCAAAATGGAGAAAGATGTTTTTCGTCTTGTCACGAGCGTGGGACATATAAAAAATTCTGAGTCCTCATCAGGAATCGATCCTAAGACCTTCGAATTCCGCGCTCCGATGCTCTATCACTTAGCCGACAGAGAGCGAGGTCTATTACGTCAGAATTTTTTCTTCGTCTCACGCTCGTGACAAGCATCTTTCTCCATTTCTTTACCGAGCTCATAACTTATCATTTCTTTAATTCTATTTACAATCGAAATAATATCCAGACTTTAATGAATGGGACATCAACTTTGACATCAGCTTGAAAGAAATGCTTCAATTCGTTTTGTTTCTTACCTCTTTTAAAATCTCTCTGTTTGTAGTACCTGCCCAGGTCTTTAACAAAATTCTCTGGCCTGGCCTCCTTAGTTCTGTTATTTAACTCACATATCCCTTTGAACACGACGTTATAGCTTTGACATCTGATATCAGCGAGGCACGCTTGTCTACATTCCAGGGAACCTGATTGCATCTTCAACGCCTTAAAGGTGTAACCTTGAAGCATCCTTTGATAAATAGAGTAATGGTCGGTCTCACACTGTTGGCAGGCGATGTAGTGGAGAACATGAGACACCAGAAAAAATACATTGATGTAGAAAGTGAGATGAAGCCGAGCCATAGGTTGTCGATACGATTTCTAGTCGGGACAAAAATGAAATTAGATATTTTTTGTACCGGAAAATTCTGAATGTTAACTAATCTAGTGATCACGAGGAAGGATTTCTATTCCCTCGTTATTTTTTTTTTTCATTCATGATGACGAAACGCCAACAATTGATGGACTACCTACTCTGAAAAAGGTAGATGCTAAGGCGATAAATGGTTTCATTGTTACTGTAGAATGGTGAAATTTGACCTGCAATTAATGCGAATTGAATTGAAAGATCTGATGCGCTTGTTCTCCTGTTGGCCTTCTGGAGTTGCTGGTAACGTGATAAGTCATAAGATTAAATTTTATTTCCATATTAGAATTCACGATGACCTTTTGAAGCTTAGTATTGGGACAGATTAAAATTTTCTTGCGGATGTTCATATCAAAAGCTTGTCAGGTGTTACAAATCTTTAGAGCTGTTTTCATCACAAAGAGACTTAACAGCCCAAGTTTCTACGATAATTAGTGAATCTTCAGTTTTGTCGGTAGCTGGAAAAAGATCAGAATCCTCATTATTATCACAAAAATAATTTTTTCTCAGTTTGAAGTAAAAAAAAAAATTTCCCTTTCTTCTGTGAAGGCAAAATGTCTGATAGATTCAAAGAAGTCCCCTTTTCCAAACATGAATTTTAGCGCAAGTGGGAAAATATTCTGAAACTCTACAGATTTTCAAGCAACTCGAGTGGTGAGTTATGTGTACAAGGAGGACTGCTCTTAGTTTATTCATCCAGTTAATTAAATTTTATTTTCATGTTAGAAGTCAGCCTCTCGGTTATCGACAAGAAATTGCCGAGCTGTAATGCTGTTTTCCCGCCTTTGGTACAACTTTTTAGCAGCTTCCATATTTTCTTTCTTTTTGGCTGATTCGTCTAAATATCTTTCTACAGCTGCACTTACCCAATTGCAGTCAAAAATTGAGGTGACATCCAACAAAAATGCAAAACAATGTGCGCTTACCTAACCCATGTGAGGTATCACCAAACAGCTTCCAGCCTTGAAGGTTATGCGATAATTTCGGTATTCACCAATATTCCATTCACCTCACCAGCCCGGCTGTTGTCATCTTAGGACGGTAGGATTTGAGACAATGGTCATGACAAATACAATGTATTAATTGGTACCATTAATATTAAACGAGGGCCGTTGAAAGCTGCAGAAATACTCAAGTATTATCAAAAATTTGAAACTAAAAGTTGCAATTTGAAATTTATTTTATTGTAAAACATCATTCCTAGTTAATCTTCAGCTTTTTTCCTTAATATGATGAAGATAAAAACTGTGAGAGACGGCGAACGGGAGTGTGGGAGAGTGGGTGGGTGAGTTAGACTCTCGGATGAATTGTCAATAATTTTTTTTCTTTCAGATATTTGTTGATAACAAGCGAACAAAGAAATTAGTTATCAAAGGCGACACGAGGTCGGAGTATTGAAATTAATCAAAAGCTCATCCAAACATTAATAATTTAGAAGTACCATGATGTATAAAAAGTGATATTTAAAACCATTTCTGGAGGAGACAAGCAAGGTTTGCTTTCCTTCGCCGATAAGTGGCGGTGGTTAAAATATCTCAATAGAACGGTTTTTTGTTTGAAAAGCATGTGTGGGGATAACGCTTTAAAGCTGCTTAAACAATTACTGAATTGGCCATACATTTAGAATGCAAGGAAAATTTAGTTCATATTTTATTTCAGAAATGTCAATAAATTTCTGGGCATTGTGGAAAAACAGGCATAAACTAACAAAAATCTGGAAAGAAGAATTTAAGGCAAAAACTAGGGAACACAGGGCCTCTTATTTACATCTCATTGAATGACAATAGTGCTTAAGCGTTGCTCATCATTTCTCAAATTAGGCCGACAATTTGGACTTCAGGCCTCAGTGATCTAAAGAAGCGTTGCTGTGGACCTTGAAATGTTCGCGAGGGGAAAAACAAACACAACCTAATAAGCACGAGATGGAGAGATTGACAGAGTGTGTATTTTTTTTGAGTTACTTAAACTTACTCACTTATTTACATTACTAACAGCACTTGCATTTGCTACAATATTTATTAGTATTCTACCATTAGTCGCAATACATTACTCACGACACTAACAATGCTGACTGATAACTATTCTTGCTTACAATGATGGTATTGTCATTGTCGTTGGTACCTTTTTAAATACAGAGTCATTTTACACTATGTATCGAAAGGAATCTGGGATTGCTTTAGATTTGCTTTACTTCACTCTGTGATTGGTCTTGAAAACTCGCATCACTCTCTCAAAAAATCAAATTCAAACCTCAAAGCAGTCGCGCCTTGGCCACCCACGTTTTCCCACGCTTCAAGTAGTTTGTTCGTTTTTACTTCGAGTTCTGATTGACTCCTTGTGATATTTCCCTTATTCTGATTGGCTGTTGTGATACCTTTGGTTTTGGTCTTACGACACTCAACTGAAGAGCGTTCTATACTTCACTTTCAGCACATACTGATGATATATTTACATACTACATATTGATGAAATATTCACTAGTACACAATGAGAAAAACATTACCCACAGGTCACCTAGACAATTCAAAAGCATCACATTATTCGTACAAAACTAACTTTACGAACAGTACTAAGGGTAATAATGCTTGACGCAGTGAAAGTAATAAATGAGTAAATAAATGAAAACACAGATAAACCAATAAATCAGAAAAAACGAGAAACTTTAACACAGACCAAAAGCAAACCACACAACTTTCATTGACAAATAAGAAAAGTTAACCTAACTAGTTCTAACGAACAAAAATTATATTTTTCGAGTTTTACTAAGAAGTGAAGTTTAAAGATGGACACTGCTATAGATTTTTCTTTGGGCGCGCAAACCGGGACTTTTGTCCTTTTAGAAGTTCATGTTCATTCAAAAATGTCAATGACCCGTTTGATTTTAGTCAATTATGCACATCTGTGGATCCATTCCCGGTGACAACATGATGGAATGATAGCAGCTGCTAGCCGTATAATGGCCGAAATTCTAACCGTTAGCTGTAAAAGCTATCACTATATTTAGAACCTCAGGCAAAAGTGTTCGCACGATTTTGGCTTGAGTGTTGTAAAATATTTTTGATTAAATACAATGGCAAACCGTAGCTAAGTTATAGACACGAGTACAAGTATCCAGCCTCAAGCTCATGAGAGAAGTCCCAAATTATAGATAGCCTAAGACAGCCTGGTCCAATTATCCAGGATGCCTTGGTTCCGCAAGTTACCTAGAATGCAAAAGTGATTTATCCAGTGCCACAGAAACGATGGCAGTTTGAACCAGAGTCTACAGCGCTTAAGTAGTAGACATAATAAGAACCGCAGTTTCTAACTTGAATAGTCTTCGATCTAACTTTACAGTGATTGGACGAGCGGAAATAAACCGTCCTGGACACTCTGCCATCAATTTTGTTTGGATGACCACCACTCAACCAACCTGGTCTCTTTCCGCCACATCTTTTGAAAGTGACACATGAAGTGGGCATTCTTGTACCTGCGGCTCCAGTAAAACGGTACCACATCGTATTCAGTTTATTGTCGCATCTATATGGTGAACGTGACTTATAAGATTTCTTCCTTTGATGAGAATTTAAAGCCTTGTAGTTGCTACATTCTGGGTATAAAAATGACAGACAAACAGCTTAGAATGATAGATGATCGTATGTGAAACTTGACTAAAAACTCTCGTGCCAACGCAGTCATTAACTAGCCTGCATTCATACTCAGAGGTTATCGCCCAGATTTTTTCCAAAACAACAATGTTAAGTCATGATGAAGGCAAAAACGACACTGAAAGATGTTCAAAAGGGCACTACAGTAGTAAGATAAAAACCTATTAAAGCGGTGATCGTGAGCTCTTGATGCTAGACTCTTGGCATATTTATAACAGTCCTACCCACCTTTAGGCTCGCAATTCAGTCCATCACCAATGTATTCTGAATTGCATGTACACCTATACGAGCCTGCAGTATTCTGACAAGTAGCGTCACGATGGCAATCGTGAGATCCTTCTGTACATTCGTTGATATCTAAATATCAGAGATAAGTCCAAAATAATAAGTCGGAAACTCACACGATTAGAAATAGGAATGGAACGGCTTCAACGGTGAAAGAACAACTTTGTCTCAGTGGTAAATTGCTTAGTTGTTGCTCACCTGATTAAGAGGACCATTTCTTCACTTAAATATAATGTTCTTCAAGTTAAGAACAATGCTTAAATTTATGGCTAAAAATTTTGAGTTTGACGTATCAGACACCAGGAATTTAACGAATGCACTGACAAAGAAGTTGCACACTTTCATTGAGAGAGAGAGAGAGAGAGAGAGAGAGAGAGAGAGAGAGAGAGAGAGAGAGAGAGAGAGAGAGAGAGAGAGCAGGTTAATACTTTGGACCAGGTTCAGATCGAGAATAAAGAATGGAAATGATATTAGGCCCATGCTTAAAACCATTAAGCACTAAGTCGCTAAGATAATACTGAAGGTGTAGCTGTTCTAACAAACTGACCGGGATAAAAATGGCATTATCTGTAGGGAGGCCAGCAAAAAGTCTCGTAAACATAGAAAGAGGGTGTCCGATGGACCCTTCAAGGAGCAGAGTTGGTTAAAGTCCTTAAAGTAAAAGTAGTCAAATGAGGCCGGTGTTCTAAGTTTTAACCACATCATAAGAATTTTTTATTCTGAGGATTTCCTTTTCAAGAAAGAAACCAAATTTTTGGAATAATGAGTTCATAGCCATGAAGGCTTTTCTCACCATTGCAATTCTGTTTCCCGTCTCCTTGAAATCCTGGTTTACAGCTACAGATGTAGGAGCCATTAGTGTTTTGGCATTCAGCGTTGCTATGGCAATCGTGGATGCCTGCTTTGCATTCATTGATATCTAAAAGGTCATACGAAAGAGAATAAACACAATTGATATTTACTAAAAACCCTACTCAGATTTAGTACTTAGATTCTACCTTTTTCGCAGTAGGGTAAAGTCCATCCTGATGAGGTGCACGCACACGTGTAATTCACATGCCTGTTTACACATGCTGCACTGTTCTGACACTTATGCTTGATGCAATAATCTGCAACTAAATTAAAAAGATAACAAATAATCAATAGACATTCCATATTTTTTTTCTGTCAATATTCGCTACGCACATGTGAGAGAAGAAAGTATTTTGTTTTCCCTACCCTCTGTTTTCATGTCACAGCGAGCTAAGATAGAATTTCCAGATCTGGTGGAATCCAACCAATAATTACCGCTGATCGCTTGTCCACCCTCACTCGCCTTGATTTCTTTACACGAATCGGCTGGCAGCCCAGGAACGGAACCTAGTGGGACTGGGTGTGAAAGAAACAAAATTTAAAACGCCGTTTTTGGCCCGGAAGATGTTAAACGAAAGGGTCTCCAGGCAATCTGTGTTTCTGTGTTGTTTTGCTTTTGTAGCCAATTGGACTTTGAGGAAAAGTTTGAGATTCGACCCAAGCCTCCAGCACGCGCCTCGTTGGAAAATCTTATAGATTCAGGACTTGCTTGACGTTAGGTTTTTGGAAATCCACGTGAGGAAAATAATGCACGAGTTCCATTTTTCGTATTTTTCGTTCACAGCGCTTCTTACCTTGGCCCTACAACAGAAAACTGAGCAATTTAAGTTTTTTATGTTCCTTTACTATTGCGAAATTGAAGTCCTGTTATTTATTACAGAGAACGGAATTGCGCTTATCCAGCTTTGAACAGAGTAACTTTCCATCACAATCGAGCGTTCCATTGCTCTTTTACTTGACCTGAGCCTTTTGCTGGCTTGTTACACTATGTAATTGTCACCTTCGCACTCGCACAGCACGCACAACTATACAATTAACATAAGCACGAGCACCGCACTCTGTATAAACTATAATGATTTCGTGATGAATAAAGTTGTAAGTTTTGACATGGAACCGAGAAAATAACAGGCTCGCGCGAGTCATCTCCGACTTTGTTGGCCTCTTTACGCGACTAAACCATGGAGAACTATGGAGAGGACATCTCTATGGAGAAGACATCATGGATATCATACGAATGACAGGTTTAACATAATCCACGCTAGATGTTTTCTGAAGTTAGTAACTCGTTTCTCATAAATAGTTTACTTTTAATTAGTTTTCTTACCTCTTGTTGAGCTTTTCACGTGATATCGCTCCAAGTCTTTGACAAAATCGTCCGGTCTAGCCTCCTTAGTTCTGTTATTTAACTCACATATCCCTTTGAACACGACGTTATAGCTTTGGCATCTGATATCAGCGAGGCAGGCCTGTCTGCATTCTAGTGTACCTGGTTGGGTCTTCAAGGTCTTAAAGGTGTGGCCTTGAAGCATCATCTGGTAGACTGAGTGAAGATCAGTCCCACACTGCTGGCTGGTAAGATGTCGGAGAGCGACAGACACCATTAACAGTATTATAATGTGGGCTTTGATTTGTTTCCAAGCCATTCGTGGCAGATACGATTTCTGACCTTGACAAGAAGAAATAAACTGCCTTTCAATATCATTTTCATTTTTTTTTATTCCAATATTCTAAATATAACTTATTTTGATGAGTTCTTGAAAGAACGGGCAGAAAGCAGGGCAGAGAGTGTTTTAAAATTAATTTGTCGGTTAAAATCATGCAATTTGAAGTTTGATAGCACCACATCGATTGTTAAATCAACATGGCGTCATTTTCCAATCTACCTTGATAGGTATAGTGAAGATAGGTAGTTTAAATTGAGGATTTTCAACATCTCTTCAGATGGAATATCAGCCACCTTTAGGCTCTTCAATCTCCGTCGGTTCCTTTGTATTAATCCATGTTTGCTATTAGTCTTAGCGACGGGATCAAGTCTTGACTAATAGTAATTCATGCGTGGGCTCTGGAGCACACTGAATCACAGGATGTGGTAAAGGTGACTCGGTAATCAAACTGAAGAAGAAAAACTCTTGAAAATTCAGCGGATTTTGGGTTTTTGTAATGAACTGAACAACTTAAATGTGGGAATTTTGAAAATACAGTGGATTGAGGATGAGGTGAGAAGTTTGGCAAAGATTCTGTACTCCATACTCTTTGTTGTTATGTTTTGTTATTAGTTTTTGTTTTACTAAATAGAGGATGAGTCTTCTTCATTAGAATATGTTGACAATAAAAAGTCGTTTCTTCGATAATAAACAAGCAAATAAAAATGAAGAAGAAGGCTGGAATATGAACTCTTTATCAGGCTGTCCGATGATATTCACATTCAGTTGCTGCAGCAGATCTATTTTACGCTATCAAAAAGCAAACATCTACAACAACTTACAATAAAAATCTCAAGAGAAGTAAGTTTAAAGATACTGACTCTTCATTCGAATAATCACATTTGGCCAAAATCATCACGGAGCGAGGGATTCACGTTTTTTTCTCTCTTATAAGTGACATTTTCATTTGGTGTGTTACCCAAACAATTTAGTTTTAATTAAATTGAAAAATGAAGGTCATAAAATCTTTTTCGAATGGCATATTCTTCAGGAATAACGACAGAAAAAATATTCGCAACCGAATGGACAATCCCTTTTGAAATTGAGATGCTGTGCTCCTAAACTTGCAAGTAAGACGAAGTAAGGAAACCGTGCGTTGATTGCAGCTCCTGAATTATAACTTCAGTATGTAGAGAGAAATAGAAAGATAGAACTTGGAATGGAGACCGTGGTTCAATACTATGTACCAAAGATTAAAGGGAATAATCAAGGTTACAGGGTACAACTGCGGAGCATGGTTAATTTTTTTTCTTTTTCTGCACTTTAGAAGACAATTTTTCATATCTCAAAATTACATATTTTGGAATGCCGCATCATTCAACTTACCTATTGGAGATACTAAATAGTTCCTCAGGGTCTTTCCCGGTGGGTTTTTCCTCCGTATAACTACAGTAACCCAACTAAACTGAAGCCCATTTAAACACTCGGTAAACTATAAAGCTTTCTGAATTGTTACCCCCTGTGGACTTCCCTGAGGCGAAGTGACTGTGAGCACAGCAACTCTTGGCTCAGATATTCAATTCCCTCGTATGTTCCTAGAGACCAAAATAAAAAGCCCAAGATCGATATATTATTACCCGTTTTCATCAAAAAATCCTATGGCGAAACAAGTACATAGTGCAGATATTCTCGTAAATCGAACTTGGCTTACCTGTAGTTCTTCAAAAGTTAAATATGCCGTGATGGCGAATTAAGGATATGCTGATTTAAATTTGAAGAATTTCAAAGTCTGAGTGCATTTTGTAGAAAACTATCCTGACTTCTGGCACAATAAAGCTATCTTTATAAGATACAAAAAAACAAAAAAACAAAACAAAACAAAAAATACAAATTTGTGTCCCTCATCCATAAAGAAAGAAAGAGTGACGAATATTTTCCCTCAAGTCTTCCATTTATCTTACTCTCTTCTTTCCACTTTCTTTGAATTCGTCACTTTCGGTACGTTGTGTTTCATTTATCTTTTTATATAATTAGATGCTTTGAGCTCAAACTTTCTTCAAACTAAGAAAATGAGTAGTTTTTCTTCAAAGCTTTGTGCAGTTTGCAGATGTAAAATAAGTTTCTCATCTTTAATTAGTCACTCAGTCCATGTGCATGAAATTACTTTCTCAAACTCATTAATAATTCATGCTGAGAAAACAAAGGAAATTACAACCGTGAAGGAGGTTTGGATATGTGATCTTAATTATCAAAAAATCTGGTGAACTTTTGCTTTGATTTTCTCCAAGAATTATTAATGGTTTGAGAAGCTATATCAAACATTCGAAAGGGTGTTTCATCCGATATCCAAACACCTTGAAGTTGGTTAAAAAAAACTCGGCTGCGCCTCGTTTTCTCAACCACTTCTCGGTGTTTGGATATCGGATGAAACACTCTTCCTCGTGTTTGATATATTACTTCACGCACAGATGTATCTATGTGTTTGTGGCCCCCTTCATCGGGCAAACGACATTTAAATTATCCTTGCAAACGATATACTTTCTGTACAATTTTGCAGTAGGAGATCTACCTCCCTTTTCTTCTTCTCGAGTGAATGTCACAAAAAAACACAAGTTTGACGTAAAGGCTTAAGTCACAGCTCTCAGTTTCTCTCCAACAGCTTATTTTTGAGATTAAAAAATGCATTAAATTTTAATTGGTGTATGAAATAAACCTTTTAGGAGTAAAATTAAAAAAAATTATAAAAAATGATATTCATAGCAACAATAATAGTCACTTCAATGGACTCGACATCTCGCCCTGCAAATTCATTTTTTGAGTTCAGTAGCTCGCAGCAACTTCGATTATGACTTTTACCTCCTTTGCTAGTTGAGGTCGTTAACTATCTACTTAGGAGGGAACGATAAAATTGCAGAGTTGCAAATACTGTAAATAAGGTCGCCTAAGACACCAGTATAAAGTTTCTAAAAGTTTGATATTTATTGTGCGCTGTTTTTACTTTCATCTCATTTCTTTTATCATGGCGCTTTAGAGCAAAAAGCGAAATAAAAGATTAAAAACGGCAGGTACCTGATGTCACGGGGAACGACGTATTCCCCTATCCACCCCATTTTCCATTCTAAATTTTTTGACAGGATGTTTTGCAGTCCTCCAGTTTCCCTATTGTTTCTACACGCGAAGCTGTACAGTAATGAAAGTGGCGACCCGAGTTTACTAAGAGAGATAAGTATTTGTTTTTGCGAGGCACACTGGAGGTGCATGGTACAAGATGGCATGAAAAAGGTTATTTTGCATGTTAATTGAATGTTGCCTCTAAGAGTAATGTTCTCCTGCTGTTTTGCTCCACAATGTCTCCTCATGACTTTCTTCTGGCATTCGTGCCATCAAGTCCATCTTGGAGATGCAGTAATTGTACAGCACAGACAAATTTTTTTAGGTTTTTTTCAATTTTTAAATTTTCACGTAATCTAGATTTTTAGTCGACAATCTCTTTATTCCCTGAACGAACCTTATCTTCAATGACCCAGCTGATCCTCAAAGGGGGTTGCATGTGTATTATGTGGAACTCGGAATATCATTTGTAGAATTCTATGAAATAGATTTATTGCCCGCTTCAAGTTGAAAGAGATGATAACAACAGAGGTGGACATTAGCCATCATGTAATAAGCTGAATTCCACATGCGTTTTAACCGGCTCTTGCTTATGATCTGTCGAGTACGTACGCATAGATGACGTCACCAGTAACAATATTATGTTTTTTGTTATCATATAAAAAAATCGATTCTATGTTGTTGTGGGTCTGTACGGTAATGGATCAAAATATGGTAGGAGCATCAATGACACACTTTGCTGTGCCTCATGTGCCACGTTGTTGTCCTTACCAGATTTTGAGGTTATCTGCAAAATCTGTAACTGAGCAGACGCAGGACAACATGGAATCTTTTTGTCAGTTGAAGGTGATATGAAGTCGTGGTATGAAGTCGGAGTATTGAAACCTAATCAAAAGCTAATTAAAATATTAATAATTAAGAATCTCAAAAATGCATAGGAACTATTACCTGAAACTTGCCCATGCTATTAACGAGCTTAAGATCCGACGACGGCAGACACCTAGGACGGCAGACTTGGTCGAGGGGGCTTGGGGAAAGGTCGCCGTTCCAATGGCGCGAAAAATAGCCTTAAGATAGCGCGCGCGACGGCGGCTGTAGTGGCTTTCCTCTTCGAAGTTTAGGAAAAGCGATGGCTACCTTTAGAAAGGCTTGTGAATTGTTGATCGCAAGTTTCGATGATGGTGACATTTCAGAAGATGAATTTTTACTGTTGTATGATGCCAACATTTCAAAGAATTTCGATTATCCTTACCAGAATTACGAAGATTTTGACCTGGAAGGACTCGGTGAAAGTGAGTGCTTGGCAGAATTTCGTTTCCGAAAAAGGGACATACCAATTCTCGCAGACGTAATGGGGCTGCCTGATTCGTATCGATGTGAACAAGGGACTGTATGCGATGGAATTGAAGGCCTTTGTCTTTTGTTAAGAAGATTGGCGTACCCTTGTAGGTACAGTGACCTAATCCATCGTTTTGGCCGCCCAGTACCAGAAATTTGTATGATCACTAATTATGTAATGGAAACTGTGTACAGCTTACATCATCACCGTCTGACAGCATGGAACCACACCTTAATGAGCCCCCCTCTACTTCAGAGATATGCTGATGCCATACAAAGGAAAGGAAGTCCCCTGCCGAATTGCTTTGGCTTCATAGATGGTACAGTAAGACCCATTTGCCGACCACAAGAAAACCAAGGAATTGTGTACAACGGACACAAAAGAGTCCACGGATTGAAATACCAATCTGTTGCATTGCCCTGTGGTATGATAGCCAACATGTATGGGCCAGTAGGTAATGGAAATTATTCATTTCAAGTTTCAATAATAAATTCATGTGAAATACACAACTAGTCAATAAGATGTAACAGTGTATGTCTGCAACCTGCCAATAAACTACTGTTTAAAGTTTTGGTATTTATTCTTTAGTATTTGTAGTCAGGTCAACTGATGTATAACAACAACTATAATTAATGTAAGAAGGGTTCAGAATCCATTTCAGAGGGTACAAGGTATAATAACACCAGGGTGAGAGCAGAGGAGAATGGGGAGCTTCCCAAAATATGCACAGAGAATGTTCCAAAACTGCAACAGACCCTCCCCCCCATATCAATCCTCTCTAATCATACAAAAACGTAGTCAAAAGGCCATAAAATTTGAACAAAACAACAGCATTTAACGCATTCAGTTACTCAATGCTTTTCTAAAAGTCTCAAAATGATTTGTGACTGCTGTTGTTGCATGGCAACAAACATCTGCTGAAACTGTTGCATTTGATTCTGTTGCTGCTGGACTTGCTGGGCCATCATTTGCATCATTTCTTGATGTTGCTTTTGAGACTCATCTTGCTTTCTTCTCTCTATGTCCAGGCGCTGCATGTGCAATTCCAACTCTTCAGCTTTCCATTTCTGAACCATATCATTCTTCTCACGCAGATACGCCACTGTGTCCCCACCACTCCTCCTTGTGACTTTTCGCTTAGGTTGTGCATTCTCTACATCCTCGACTTCATCACCATCCTTCCTTTTCTGTGTTGAACGCATGCTCTCCATTGCTCTATTCCGCATCTCGACAGCTTTGGCACTATCCTCTTTTTTCTTGTCAACTTCCAGACTATTTTCAGCATCAGCCTCCTTTTCCAGTATTTCCTCCAAAGCTTTCTCAACATCATTCATGTCAGTCTCAATGCCACTAGCCTTTTTCTCTTCTTGTAACTTTTTCTTTTATTTTTCAATGAGTAGTGTGTAACGCTCTCTCACTGAGCGCTTGTTAACTTTAAATCTTGGAATTTTCAAGGAGTTGAGATTACTGGCAATTTTTTCCCAGATCTGCCCTCTTGCGATACTTCCCTTTTTAGCTTTAAAGGGTTCTAGAGCCAGAATTTCTTGACAGAGAGAGTGGTCATGATCATCTGTCCATTCCATGTTAGATCTACATTTTAAGAAAATATAATATGGATATTTAAAAATCCTGGTGAGTCTGCTAACTAAGCTTCAATTCCAACTGCTTAGTTCAGTTAAGAACTCTCCAAAGTAAATCAGAGCAGTCTTGTTTATGTGTGTTGTGGTTAAAATTTTTGTTTGCGGGTTTAAAAATGCTCGAACCACGTTAAGTTTTTGTTTCCCTTTGTCTCAGGTTATGGTAATAGATGCGAGAAAAAGGATAATAACAATAAAAACAGAATAAAGAATGAAAAATGGTTTAAAACTTTTTAAATTGACACTGGAAAAATTTGAATCACAACATGGACATGTATGCAAAGCAGCATAATACAGGTATAAACTTATCATTATGATAAATGTTTAACCAATTTCCGACAGCAAATTTTTCACGCTAATCTAGGACGTTTCTTTACGGCTGAAAAAACATCACCGAAACTGTTGATTATAAAAACGTTCTCAGATGATCCTTGTTGTTGAACTCGAGAAAAGACAAATGGAATAATATCATGGCCATCAATTTATGCACGAAGAAGTCTACGAATTTTTAATTGAAATAAAGAAATTATTAAACTTACTGGGTTGCTTTCTTTCTTGACATTGAGCCAATACTAGTAACGAACTGTTTATGAGAAAGGCAAACGAATAAAGTTAAAATTTCCTCGAACAAATAGTTTATTTTTGCTTGGCTATTTCACAGACATCCTCTCATAACAATAAACGGTCAAAATTGCCAACAATTTTCGCTCAAAGTAAGTTCAAACGGCGTTATTTTGCAAAAGTTTACTCACGTTTTAGCCGCGACGGCAAAATGGCCTCCTTCACGTCACAGACGAGGCCGCTACGGCGGGAAACCTCACAACAACGGCAGCCGGAAGTAATTCTGGCGGTAACTTCACTTCCGCTTGCCGTCCCAGATGTCTGCCGTCGTCGGATCTTAAGCTCGTTGTTATATCTCAAAAGGCGCACGGAAATGTTAGTGTCATTTTTAGGGTAAGTTTTTTTAGGGGAAAAAACCAAAGTTTTCCTTCTTTCGCCGACAAGCGTCGGTGGCGAAAATATCTCAGAAAAACAGCTTTTTTAAACGTATGAATCTGGTTAACGCCTTAAAGCTGCTGAACGAATATTCAACTCACCGTAAAAAGTGAAGACAAAAATTTAGTATGAAAAAGTCGACGAATTCGTGTACAGTGTGGAAAAACAGACCATTAACTACCAAAAAAATTAGGAAAAAATGAACAAATTAGGGAATACAGTGCCTCCTATTTACATCTCATTGAATCACAATATTGTGCGTACAAAACAAGCTCGTGCAATTTTGTGAGACTTTGAAAAATTTTACCCGTGCTGATTCATCCCAAACAGCACGGGAAAAAGCATGTAATTACTAATTAATAATACACAGGCGAAAATATGATTCTGCTTTCCTTTCTAGTTGTTTTTATTTCTTGTTGTGGCTCACAAGTTCAGCATCAGTTTGCCTTCGCCTAGTTGTCCGAGTTGTCGGGCTTTTCCCGTAAGAACTAGCTTCAAACTTTTAAAACTTCTTCCAAGAATAATTAGGTGTTTGTACTTTTCTCTGTTAGGAATCGGTCGACAGCAGCAACCATTACACGAAAGCTATCACGCTCGTAATCTTCCCCGCTTTTCGTAAGAACTGTAGCCAAAAACATTTCGAGAATTTTCTTCAGGGCCTCTGGTTCATACTTTCATAACCGTATTTGGAAACCAGACTTTTAGCCATTTGTTTTCCCTTTGTTAGGCGTTACTCAAGTATGATTTCAGACCAAACTTGAACGACACGAAGTTCAATTACAACTTTATGACATCTCTTTCAAAATCGCAAAATTCAGTCGCTCAGATACAGGTCTTTTTAGTCTGTACCAACAATTTAATGATCCAGTATTGAGCTGGTTTGTAAAAAGTTGCAAAAATTTGTTTCATCTCCCTGCAATTTAATTGGTTTCGTTAAACAATTACAATCATGACGCATACACTGTCCTATTAGTGCTTAAATGGGGCCGGTGATAACCAATCACGTTCGACAATTTGTTTTAGTTTTGACGAAAGCAAAATTAGTCAAAACAAAGCCTCTTATTTACATCGCATTGAAAGCAAGATAGGGCCTAATGTAAATTTCTCTGCGTTCCTCAACGTCTGACGTGAATCTTAGTGGCGTTTTTTTTATATAAATTTGATCTTCATGATAAACAGGCTATATGTGGACCTATCAATAATACATCCAGGGAACAAAACAAATGTAACGCAATAGGCTAGGAAACCTTTTAAAAAAGATTACTAAAAGCTATTCACTATACTGCCATTACATTACTAATATTAACAAAAAATTGAAATTTCTAATATACTTGCAATAGTTGCAGTAATTAAAACGCTAAAATTAACTCCTAACTCTTGCGGTACTTGCGTTTTCGTTGTCGTCTGTAAACTTTTTTAGGCATATACATCACTTATAGTACATAACGATAACGTCTTTTTCCTTTTACATACTGAATATAACATAACTCATAAATCACCCAACTACACCGAACTAAACTGAACATACTTTGGCAGCCAGGCATACTTTGCTGCAGAGCAATTGGTTTAAGGTCGCAATGTTATTGTTTTGGTAACCAATATGGCCGCCAGGACGTCATTTTAGGACGATCTATATAATTGAGCGATTATGATAAATTCTAATCTATGTTTCAGAGTTGGTCTCTAAGCATTAAACACCTAGTCAGATTAAAAAACCACGAGAACGCTCACTGCTTGCGTAAGTGCGAGTGTGGATTAAATATTGTAAAATGTATTAGAATTAATAACAATGATTAACCATGGCAAAGTTATTTAAGTTACTTCTACTTGGCCTAAGACAACCCCAGCCAATCACCCAGGATGCCTTGCTACTGCAAGTTACCCAGAATGCAAGAGTGATTTAGTAAGAGCTACAGTAACGATGGCAGTTTGAGCCATGTGAAAAACCCTTTAAGTAGTAAACATAGAACGAACCGCAGTTTCTAACTGTGATAGTCGTCGATACTCTGTAACAATTGTCACTCGAGCGAAACCAGACCTTCCTGGACACTCTGCCATCAGCTTTGTTGGGATGACCACCACTGAGCCAGCCTGGTCTCTGGCCGCCACATCTTTTAAAAGGCACACATGCAGTGGGCATTTTTCTACCTGCGGCTCCAGTAATACGATACCAGCCCCAAGTCAGTGAATTGTCGCATACATGTGGTTTTGTTGACGTAGAACCTTTCAATCTTCGAGCAGAAGTTAAAGTCTTGTAGTTGCTACATTCTAGGTAGAAAAATAGCCAACCAACTCAAAATGAAAGAAAAATTTTGAAACTTGCTTGCCACTTTCATTAGCTGGCTTGCACTAAATTCCAGAGGCTATTGTCCAGAATTAAAGCCTTAGGAACAAAAGAAAGTCGTAATAAAGGCAACTGAACATTCCCTAACAGCGACCCTCATATACTTTGAAGGACCCTTATGCCTGCAGCTCGCGGGGTCAGTGGAAAACTGTGTCTTTGTTCAGCATAAAAGCTGATCGTGAGTTATTGATGCTAGACTCTTGGCATATTTATAATAGTCCTACCCACCTTTAGGCTCGCAATTCAGTCCGTCCCCAATGTATTGTGAGTTGCAGGTACACCTATACGAACCTGCAGTATTCTGACAAGTGGCGTCACGATGGCAACCGTGAGATCCTTCCGTACATTCGTCGATATCTAAATATCAGAGATATTTATGAAATAATAAGTCGGAAACTCACACGATTAGAAATAGGGGTGGAACGGCGTCAACGGTGAAAGAACAATTTCGTATCAGTGGTAAATTGTTTAGTTGTTGCTCACCCAATAAAGAGGACCGTTTCTTCGCTTAAATATAATATTCTTCAAGTTAAGAACAATACTTAGATTTATGGTTCAAATTTTGAGTCTGACGTAACAGACATCGGGAATTTAACGAATGCACTCACAAAGAAAGTACATACTTTCATTGGGAGAGAAGAGCTCAGAGAAAACAGGTCAGTGCTTTGGACATGGATCTTTTACTTCTCCAAATTTTTTCTGGCCTTTGCAGTTTTCCTTCCTCCATGATTGTCATAGCGTTGCTATAACAATCATGGAGGCCTTCTTTACATTCGTCAATATCTGAGGAACCAGAGTAACTCTTAACATAACTCCCGGGTGCAAATGCATTGAATCCGGGCAACACTGAGTTCTTACAACTCAAATTTTTAGTCTGACGTATCAGACACCAGGAATTTAACGAGTGTGCTGACAAAGAAGTTGCACGCATTCATTGAATGAGAAAAGCCCAGAGAAAGAACAAGTCAATGCTTTGGACATGGATCTTTGACTTCTCCAAATTCTTTTTGACCTGTGCAGCTTGTCCTTCCATTTCCATAAAATCCTTGTTTGCAAGTACACTGGTGATTGCCAATCGTATTTTTGCATTCGGCTTTGCTATGACAGTCATCAGAGCCTTCTGTACACTCATTAATATCTGAAAGAGAAAAATAATATCAAGTCTGAAATATTCAAGAAGTCTTTAATGTGGAATGACGGTGAGGATGAAAAAACAAAAAATGAGAAAAAAAAATGAGAAAAGCCCAGAGAAAGAACAAGTCAATGCTTTGGACATGGATCTTTGACTTCTCCAAATTCTTTTTGACCTGTGCAGCTTGTCCTTCCATCTCCATAAAATCCTTGTTTGCAAGTACACTGGTGATTGCCAATCGTATTTTTGCATTCGGCTTTGCTATGACAGTCATCAGAGCCTTCTGTACACTCATTAATATCTGAAAGAGAAAAATAATATCAAGTCTGAAATATTCAAGAAGTCTTTAATGTGGAATGACGGTGAGGATGAAAAAACAAAAAATGAGAAAAAAAAATGAGAAAAGCCCAGAGAAAGAACAAGTCAATGCTTTGGACATGGATCTTTGACTTCTCCAAATTCTTTTTGACCTGTGCAGCTTGTCCTTCCATCTCCATAAAATCCTTGTTTGCAAGTACACTGGTGATTGCCAATCGTATTTTTGCATTCGGCGTCGGTATGACAGTCATCAGAGCCTTCTGTACACTCATTAATATCTGAAAGAGAAAATAATATCAAGTCTGAATTATTCATGAAGTCTCTAATGTGGAATGACGGTGAGGATGAAAAAACAAAAAATGAGAAAAAAAAAAAATGAGAAAAGCCCAGAGAAAGAACAAGTCAATGCTTTGGACATGGATCTTTGACTTCTCCAAATTCTTTTTGACCTGTGCAGCTTGTCCTTCCATCTCCATAAAATCCTTGTTTGCAAGTACACTGGTGATTGCCAATTGTATTTTTGCATTCGGCGTCGGTATGACAGTCATCAGAGCCTTCTGTACACTCATTAATATCTGAAAGAGAAAAATAATATCAAGTCTGAATTATTCATGAAGTCTCTAATGTGGAATGACGGTGAGGATGAAAAAAAAAAAAAATGAGAAAAGCCCAGAGAAAGAACAAGTCAATGCTTTGGACATGGATCTTTGACTTCTCCAAATTCTTTTTGACCTGTGCAGCTTGTCCTTCCATCTCCATAAAATCCTTGTTTGCAAGTACACTGGTGATTGCCAATTGTATTTTTGCATTCGGCTTCGGTATGACAGTCATCAGAGCCTTCTGTACACTCATTAATATCTGAAAGAGAAAAATAATATCAAGTCTGAAATATTCAAGAAGTCTTTAATGTGGAATGACGGTGAGGATGAAAAAACAAAAAATGAGAAAAAAAAATGAGAAAAGCCCAGAGAAAGAACAAGTCAATGCTTTGGACATGGATCTTTGACTTCTCCAAATTCTTTTTGACCTGTGCAGCTTGTCCTTCCATCTCCATAAAATCCTTGTTTGCAAGTACACTGGTGATTGCCAATTGTATTTTTGCATTCGGCGTCGGTATGACAGTCATCAGAGCCTTCTGCACACTCATTAATATCTGAAAGAGAAAAATAATATCAAGTCTGAATTATTCATGAAGTCTCTAATGTGGAATGACGGTGAGGATGAAAAAACAAAAAATGAGAAAAAAAAAATGAGAAAAGCCCAGAGAAAGAACAAGTCAATGCTTTGGACATGGATCTTTGACTTCTCCAAATTCTTTTTGACCTGTGCAGCTTGTCCTTCCATCTCCATAAAATCCTTGTTTGCAAGTACACTGGTGATTGCCAATCGTATTTTTGCATTCGGCGTCGGTATGACAGTCATCAGAGCCTTCTGTACACTCATTAATATCTGAAAGAGAAAATAATATCAAGTCTGAATTATTCATGAAGTCTCTAATGTGGAATGACGGTGAGGATGAAAAAACAAAAAATGAGAAAAAAAAATGAGAAAAGCCCAGAGAAAGAACAAGTCAATGCTTTGGACATGGATCTTTGACTTCTCCAAATTCTTTTTGACCTGTGCAGCTTGTCCTTCCATCTCCATAAAATCCTTGTTTGCAAGTACACTGGTGATTGCCAATTGTATTTTTGCATTCGGCGTCGGTATGACAGTCATCAGAGCCTTCTGTACACTCATTAATATCTGAAAGAGAAAAATAATATCAAGTCTAAATTATTCATGAAGTCTCTAATGTGGAATGACGATGAGGATGAAAAAACAAAAAATGAGAAAAAAAAATGAGAAAAGCCCAGAGAAAGAACAAGTCAATGCTTTGGACATGGATCTTTGACTTCTCCAAATTCTTTTTGACCTGTGCAGCTTGTCCTTCCATCTCCATAAAATCCTTGTTTGCAAGTACACTGGTGATTGCCAATCGTATTTTTGCATTCGGCTTCGGTATGACAGTCATCAGAGCCTTCTGTACACTCATTAATATCTGTAAGAGAAAAATAATATCAAGTCTGAATTATTCATGAAGTCTCTAATGTGGAATGACGGTGAGGATGAAAAAACAAAATATGGTTAAAAAGAAGTAACCGAGGCAATCCCAGTTCAGAGATATGTGTTTCTACACTGTGCAGCTGCCAAAGCCTTCCAATCACTCTTATCACTTAAAACATAAATGACCTTGCTTTCTTAAGACTCCTTCAAAAAAAAACTTTGATTGACCCACAGCTCAATCTATAACCTTGATGTTCTTGTGACACCACATTACAAAAAGGACGCGGAATGCGAAGAAAATCGTTATTTCTTGACGAAATAATTTCTATAAATCTGGCTTCATGCACCCCAAACAAAATAAAAAGTGGAAAAGTTTGATTGTCTAGAAATATTAAGAGTAATTATTTCACACATCACTATTTATGGCCTATGAATAAATTGAAAATCGTGGTCAATACTTTTACAAAGAAAAAGAAACTCATAATACATGTAGCGGTCAAGTTTTTTACGAGAATTGATCTTGAATGTTCACAAGAATGACGCATTTTTCCCTACAAGCGAAAAGCTTTGGCTTGGTATCGATAACTTACGTTACTGACAGTTTAATTTTCGCTTTGAGGCGATGAAAGACTAGCTCATGGCACCGCTGGTCATTTCTACAGTTATACTACTTTCACTTTATCGAGTGTCCAAAACACCGACAGCTTCGAAAGCTTTTATTTCCATCCACATTTAAACAAAAAAATCATCTGTAACTTATATCACTATTTATGTTCTCACCGTTGCAAATAATTTTTCCATCCCCGGCAAATCCTGGTTTACAGGTACAGGTATGCGAGCCTTCTGTATTTTTGCATTTGGCGTTGCTATGGCAGTCATGAAGGCCTTCATTACATTCGTCAGTATCTAAGGAAACAGAGCAATAATTCCCAGGCATAATTCCCAGGCGCAAATGCACTGAATCTTCGCAGCTATCAATTTCGAAAAATAGGAATTTTCTCTTCTGGGGATTTCCTTTTCAAGAAAGAAACCAAATTTTTGGATTTATGTGTTCCTAGCCATGAAGGCTTTTCTCACCATTGCAACTCTGTTTCCCGTCTCCTTGAAATCCTGGTTTACAGCTACAGATGTAGGAGCCATTAGTGTTTTGGCATTCAGCGTTGCTATGGCAATCGTGGATGCCTACTTTGCATTCATTGATATCTAAAAGGTCATAGGAAAGAGAATAAACACAATTGACATGTACTAAAGACCCTACTAAGATTTGATTACTTAGATCCTACCTTTTTCACAGTAGGGTAAAGTCCATCCTGATGAGGTGCACGCACACGTGTAATTCACATGCCTGTTTACACATGCTGCACTGTTCTGACACTTATGCTTGATGCAATAGTCTGCAACTAAACCAAAAAGATAACAAATAATCAATAGAGATTCCAGGTTTTTTTTCTATCAATATTCGCTACGCACATGCGGGATAAGAAATTATTTTGTCATTCCCTACCCTCTGTTTTCATGTCACAGCGAGCTAAAATAGAATTTCCAGTTCTGGGGGAATCCAACCAGTAATTACCGCTGACCGCTTGTCCACCCTCACTCGCCTTGATTTCTTTACACGAATCGGCTGGCAGCCCAGGAACGGAACCTAAAGGGACTGAGTGTGAACGAAACAAATAAGTTTAACGAGCCGTTTTTGGCGTGGAAGATATTAAACGAAAGGGTCTCCGGGCAATTTGTGTTTCAGTGTTGTTTCGTTTTTGCAGCTAATCAGATGTTGGGGAAAACTTTGAGATTCGACCCAGGCCCCCAGCCTGCCTGACATCAGGGTTTTGGAAACACACTTGAGGAAAAGAATGCACGAATTCCATTTTTCGTGTTTTTCGTTCACAACGCTTCCTACCTTGGTCCTGCAACATAAAACTAAAGAATTTGATTTTTTTTAATGTGCCTTTTCAATTACGAAATTGAGGTCCTGTTTTTTATTTCAGAGAACGGAATTGTGGTTATCCAGCTTTGAATAGAGTAATTTTCCATCGTAATCGAACGTTCCATAACAATTTTACTTGACCTGAGCCTTTTGCTGGCTCGCGCGAGTCATCTGCGACCTTGTTAGCCTTTTTACACGACTAAACCATGGAGAACTATGGAGAAGACATCATTGATATCATACGAATGACAGGTTTAGCATAATCCACGCTAGATGTGCTCTGAGGCAGAAACTCGTTTCTCATAAATAGTTTACTTTTAATTAGTTTTCTTGCCTCTTGTTGAGCTTTTCACGTAATATCTTTCCAAGTCTTTGACAAAATCGTCCGGTCTAGCCTCCTTAGTTCTGTTATTTAATTCACATATCCCTTTGAACACGACGTTAAAGCTTTGGCATCTGATATCAGCGCGGCACGCCTGTCTGCATTCTGTTGTACCTGGTTGGGTCTTCAAGGTCTTAAAGGTGTGGCCTTGAAGCATCATTTGGTAGACTGAGTGAAGATCAGTCCCACACTGCTGGCTGGTAAGATGTCGGAGTGCGACAGACGCCATCACCAGTACTGTAATGTGGGCTTTGAATTGTCGCCAAGCCATTCGTGGCAAACACGATTGCTGATCTTGACAAGAAGAAATAAACTTTCTTTAATTATCATCTTATTTTTATCCCAATGTTCTTAGTGTAACTTATTTTGATGAGTTCTTTAGAGAACTGAAAGAAGAAGAAGAAAAAGAAGAAGAAAAACTCTAGAAAATTAAACGGAGTTTGGGTTTTGTATAGAATTAAACGACTTAAATTTGGAGATTTTAAAAATACGGTGGATTGATGATGAGATGAGAAGTTTGGCCCAGATTCTGTTCTCCATAATCTTCGTTGTTGTATTTTTTTTTCGGTTTTTGTTTTACTAAATAGAGGATTAATCTTCTTCGTTAAAAATTGTTGACAATGAAAAGTCGTTTCCTCGATAATAAACAAGCAAATAAAAATGAAGAAGAAAGGCTCTTTATCACGCTGTCCGATGATATTCACATTCAGTTGTTTACAGATCTATTTTACGTTATAAAAAAGCAAACATCTACAACAACTTACGATAAACCATCTCAAGAGAAGTAAATTTAAAGATACTAACTCTTCATTCGAATAATCACATTTGGCCAAAATCACCCCAAAGCTAAGGATTTACGTTTCTTTCTCTCTTATCAGTGACCTTTGTATTTTGCGCGTTACCCAAACAATTTAGTTTTGATTAACTTGAAAAATGAAGGTTAGAAAATCTTTTTTGAATGGCATATGTCTTAGGAATAATGACCGAAAAAAATGTTTGCAATCGAATGGAAAATCTCTCTTTAGTTGAGATGTTGTGCTCCAAAACTTGCAAGTAGGACGAACTAAGGAAACCGTGCGTTGATCACAGCTCCTGAATTATAAATATAGTATGTAGAGAGAAATGGAAAGACAGAACTTTGGAATTAAGACCGTGGTTTAATGCCATGGACCAAAGGTGAGATGGAATAATTAAGGTTACATGGTTAATTTTTTCTGCACTTTGAAAGACAATTTTTCATATCTCAAATCACATGTTTTGGAATGCAGCGTCATACAACTTACGTGTTAGAGATACTTAATAGTTCTTCAGGGTCTTTCCCGGTGGGTTTTTCCTCCGTTTAACTACAGTAACCAAACTAAACTGAAGCTGGTTTAAACATTCGTTAATGACTATAAAGCTTTCTGAATAGTTGTTAACCCCCCGTGGACTTCCCTGAGGCGACGTGACTGTGAGCACAGCAACTCTTGGCTCACGTATTCAATTCTCTCGTATGTTCCTACAGACCCAAAAAATAGCTCAAGATCGATATCTAATTACCCGTTTTGATCAAACAAATCCTTTGGCGAAACAGCTTCACAGTGAAGATGTTCTCGTAAATCGAGCTTGGCTTACCTGTGGTTCTGCAAAAGTGAAAGATAACAATATAGAAGTTCTTTTATCAAAAATACCTTAAAGGCGACATACTAATGACGAATTAAGGATAAGGTGATTTCAATTTGAAGAATTTCTCTGAGTCTGAGTGCATTTTCTAGAAAACTATCTTGACTTCTGGCATAATGAAGCCATCTTTGCTAATAAGATGCAAAAAAGAATACAAATTTGTGTCCCTCATCCATTAGGAAAAAAAGAGTGACGAGTGTTTCCCCTCAGGTCTTCCATTTATTTTACTCCCTTCTTCCCTCCTTCTTTGCATTCGTCAAAATTTGGGTACACTGTGTTTTATTTATCTTTTGATAAAAATTTGATGCTTTGAGCTCAAACTTTCTGCAAAGCTTTGTGCAGTTTGCAGATGTAAAATAAATTTCTCACTTTTAATTAGTCACTCAGTCCGCTCGCATAAAATTACTTTCATGCACGGATACACTTATGTGTTTGTGGCCTCCATCGTCCTACAAATGACATTTAAATTATCCTTGTAAACGATATACTTTCTGTACAATGTTGTAGTAGAAGATTTTCTTCCCTTTTCTTCTTCCCGAGTGAATGTCACTTAAAAGACAAGTTTGTCGTAAAGGCTTAAGTCACAGCTCTCAGTGTCTCTCTAGCAGCTGCTTTTTGGGGTTAAAAAATGCATTAAATTTTAATTGGTGTGTGAAACAAACCTTTTAGGAGTAAAATAGAGAAAATAGTTATAAAAAAATTATAATAATGGCGATAACAAAAAAAGATATTTACTACGTAACAAAACCCCACTAAAGCTCACGTGAGCATTGATTCGTTATGAACTTATGAAATCCATTACCGAAACACCTGCGGCTCGAGTCGTGGGTGTATTATCCCTCTCTGTGGGAGTAAATTTTCATCCTTAGAATGTTGAGATGAATCGAGGAACTTGAGTATTTATTGGTTGTTTTAATATCAAAAGAGAAACATTGCCATTACTATACACGACCTAATAATGGAGGATAAGTGTAGCAAAAAGGGGGGTCACAGTTGAAAAGGAATTGCGTTCCCGCAAGGGAGATTACACCCCAGAAAATACAGAATGAGTAGCTTTTCAAAAGGGAAAAAACTCTTTTCTAGCTGATTGATTATCCCCTGTCTGAGTTCCATGTTTCCTGCAGCGAAGAGGTTGTGAGCACAGTTATCTATCTTGACTCCTGACACAATGAAGCCATCCTTTCTCAAGTGATGATCACGAGTAAAAATTTGCGTGCTTCATCCGAAAAACGAAAAAGAATGAAGGATATTTTCCGTTCAAGGGAGTTTCAACTTATCTTCCTCCTCTAAGCACCTTCTTCAAATTTTTAGAACTTTCGGTGCATTGCGGTGCATTACGCAAGATGATTTAGTTGTGTTGTTTTAATATAAAAAAAAAAAAAATTACCTGTGGTGATCAAAAGTAGCTGTATTGTACTGAAAGCTTTGTGCAGTTTGCAGGTGCAAATTACGTGTCTCATCTTTAATGTATAGTCTGCACGCATAGATTTACTATTCATGTACAGATATATTTATGTGTTTGTAACCTCGGTAACCACTCAAACGACATTTAACGTATCTTTGCGCACGATTTCCTTAGTTTGTGTTGAATGGCACAAAAAAAACATTAGATTTTCACGACGGCTAACGTCATAGTTACAGGATATTCTTCAACTGCCTCTTTTTTTAGATTGAAAATAAAACCCTCCTTGCAGTGTCTAGCAGTTGTACAAAGATACTTTTATAATAATTTGAATATTACTGATGGACAATTTGTTGTTAAGAGCGTTTTTGAATTCACTATTATTAACAAATTCATGACTATTGTTGAAAATTAGCGTAAAAAAACCTGCCTTTGAAAGGCAAAATAATAATGAATGATAGTATAACTAAATAATAATAACAATAATAATAATAATAATAATAATTATCATGATGACAAAACTGACAATAATAATAATAATAATTATCATGATGACAAAACTGGCAATAATAATAATAATAATAATGATACCAATACTAATGCAGATAAGGATAAATTACATACGTGTGAAAGATAGTATTAGCACGAGTGGATCATAATTCGTATCCTTAGTCAGTCGTGCAAAGTCTTAGAGGGTTTAGGTCGCGTGCAAGGAGGCTTGGGTCGATTCGCGTTACGTAACGCGACTTGACCCAATCCTCCCTCAACTTTTTGCTCGCCGCTATTGTCGCACTGCGCTCAGTTTTAGTGCCTGAATGCCCGGAACAGGCTACTACTTATGAAAATACGCTCCGTTTCCGTTATTTTGAGGTGGGGTTAACTTCCGTGGCGTTCAACACTTTTGCCAATAGAGGTCGCCAATGACCTCCTTAAGAGCGAAAGAAGAAACACAGAATCGCAAATGCTCCAAAAGAAAGTGCCTGAGTTGTGCGCTGTTTTTACCTTCATCCCATTTCTATGTCACGATGCATATTTCAGCAAAATGCGAAACAAAAGATTAAAAATCGCAGGCACATGATGTCACACGGACCACGTATTCCCACATCCACTCCTTTGTCCATTCCAGATTTTTGGAAGGGATTCTTAGGACTCCTCCCTTGAGACTATTTACAGTTTGCACTCACCCCCCTCATGCGAAGCTGCATAGTAGTTACTGCTGCGATCTGAGTTCATTAAAAGAGACAGTTTTCTTTTGTGAGGCATTGAAGCAGGGTATGGTATATGACAGCATGAAAAGGGTAAGTTTTGTATACTAATGGTAATGTTGCTTCTTAGAGTAATATTTATCATGTGTTTTGCTGCAACAGTCTTCGTAATTCACCCAAGCTTCCTTCCTTACAGCAATCGTGCCATCAAGTCAATAATTTCATATTTTAGATACAATAATTGTAGAGCACAGGCACAGATAAACGTTTTGCAGTTTTTCGCATTTTGATATTTCCGAAGTTGTTAGGTTCTTAGAGGTTTGCCCGATTTATGCAGGACCTTCCTGCGACATCGCCGGTCTCCTGCCCCCTATCCCTGGGATATTTTTTGGCGAGATTTTGGCAGCCATGAAACAAATCAAGAAACTTATTTCTCATCAAATAATCCAGCCCATCAAACCCAAATCCTTAAGTTCTCACTAGAGATACGCACTGAAAAATTCGATTGAGGCACAGGTAGATTAACCCACACCCCCTTCCCCTCGCCCCCTTCCCCTCCCCCCCTACCCCCATCTTAAATTAAATGATCATTGACGTAGTGAGTCGAGATATATTACATTTTTATCAAGGATTTTTAACTTTTTCTCCTTATTAAGAAGGATTTTTTGCTGGTATTTATAGAGTTGTGTTACCACGTGGAATTTTCTCTTCCCTTCCCTACCCAAATTGTGTGCAAGACTTGTTTTACCATCCAAAAGGTGTTAAAGTAGATATTTTTTATTACTGGCAGTGTGTATACCCAAATAATCTCCACAAGACTTATTGACTTTTAAGGGTTCCAGAAAGGGGGCCAAGTGAATTATAACACCTCAATATGACCCCTTGCACAACATTTTTATGATAGTATTTTTATTTAAGATATTTTATTAAAGGCCTATAGTGGAGAAGGGTCAGTGTGTGTGTGTGTGTGTAGGGGGAGGGGGGGGGGTTATTGTCACAGGCACAATTTCTGTTTCTATAAGTGTGATTCCTACCCATCTTATCTTAACCATTACAACTTTCTTTATCTACTGGTAATTTAATACTCCCTTTCTGCTGCACCATCCTTCCAACAACTTACCTGATCCTCATAAGGAGGATGCACTTTTTTTTTTATTGTGGAACTGTATTCAGTGTTTAGAGTGTTATTAAATAGATGTATTTTGCTCTAACTTGTAGATTAAAGGGTTGATAGCAGCAACACTCACACCATTTGATGATGGTGGGTAAGTATTTTGTACTCTTTTGTTTCATGGACAGAATCAACAAAGACAATTCTTAGTGATGGGTCTTCAGCTGAAAGCATCACTACCCTCATGGTCTAGAGATCAAGTTTGTGGTTGGTATCGTGTCTGATATATGCTATGCTATTGCTGAATATTGAGGAACTGATGATAGTTTTAAAAAAGACAGTTTGAACCAGATTAAAAGAACAATAAAAACAAACACATTTATGACAACATGAAGGCTCTCACAGTCAGGCTGCCTTTCAATGTGCATGCATGTTAGACAACCACTGGCCCAATACCTCACAGTTATGTTAGTTTTGGTTCTTCCAATTTGAGATGCTTACTTTTCTTCCATTTCTATTTTGATTGAATTATTTTAATTATTTATTTATTTAACCTATTTATCCATTTTATTTAATTGGATTCAGGGAGCTGAATTTAAGTGTGATAGAGGCGTATGCACAGCACTTACAAAATGAGAATGTAAAAGGTTTATTTGGTATGTATTAGTTTTAATAAGAAAACCCAGTATCATGAGCAATTACCGTAAGCTAGGATAATGCAGGGATAATCTGATAAATTGAACATGCATTGATTGCATCTTCACCTCTCTGCAATCTTGATGTCACAGTTAAAATTGTTAAGTTGTTGTTTTAATTCCTGGGACAAAACTATTTTTTCAAATTTCCTCTGTGCTGATCTGAAGTTGTGTGACCATGCGGGACAATGTATACATTTTGATTGGTGAAGCAGTATAAATATGTTTATCTCAGTTATTATAAATGGGTACTGAAAAATTGTTAGGAAATGCCTGCCTGATGAAATTCCTGAGAT